GATACTGCAAACAGTAACTTACAAATCAAACCCTAGAACCCCACTGCCTAAAAACACATGCAAAAATTGTGAGAAACTTACCTTGTTCTGTTCATATTTGTACAGAATCTTCAGGGTTTCCATGGCCCTGATCATAGACTGCATGGCAGTGAAGATGTTTTGGTACACCAGCTTGGTGAAGCCTTTTTTGTCCTCTTCAGAGTAGCCTGAGCCATGAATTATACGCATTTGCTTAATGAACGTACTTTTTCCACTCTCCCCAGTGCCTACAGAATGCAAGAGATAGAGTCAGGAGCCATCACAAGGAAGGTTTGCTACAGAAGAAAGCAAGCTAACATCAGTCACACCATACCCCAAAGCTCCTATTACTATACCCAAGCACATACTACTTCCAACCACTTTTTTTGCTGCATTCCAGAATATTAAAAGACAGTCTGGATGGTCCTGCTCATCCCTACTACAAACCTAACAGCATAGAAGGAAGACATCTTGTCCTTTACAGCAGCCTTCAAAAGCAGCTCTGATACTTATTCCAAATCTCACATTACAGCCACTCCCACATGGTTCTGCGTCAAAAGGCCCTTGTCCGTCACACCTGACCTATTCCCAGATACTCCAGCAAGATGCTACAGCCACAGCACCAGCCAGAGAGGGCCCGGATGCACTCGCAAGTTGGTAAGCACTGCAAATTGAGATGATAGTGAGTGGGCCGGGGGAAGCCTATTTGCACAGTAAAAAGTGAATTTTCTTTCGCTGTGATTTGGCACAAAATGCTCTTTATCTTACAGATTACGTGTCCCTTCATGGAAAAGAACTGAACACAACAGAAAAATCAACTATAAAGGAGAATGGAGCTCAAGAAACTACTCGCTTATCCATCCGACGTGAACAATCTGGTCAGTACATCTGCCTAGTGTCCCAAACTACTGTGCAAACACAACATTTGCTCTTAAGGACTGAAACGATAATCATCATTGTGGCAAGATACCTCTAATACTGTTTGCAGCCTTTGGATATTATAGAGTTAAAAATAGCGGCTGGCAGGGAGAACAGAGTAGGATGCTGCTCACAGCCCTAACAGGCAGCAGGCTGCTCAGCAAGGCTACCGGTTCCTTATTACACCGGTTTCCTGCCCCAGAGAAGCTGGGTCTTGGAGTAGATGGGAGGGCAAGACACACTCCCACCAATGCCAGCGCGTTAAGCAGTCCAGCCCTTTCAGCGCCTGCTTCCTGCACAGACAGTTGGGCAGGTCCTCCCACTCCTACATTTGTGTCCCCAGAAAAGTGTCATTTAACATGTGAAGGCCAACAGAAGATATAAAAAGGCGGTGGGAACTTTCTAATGTGGTAAGTACGAGAGAAAAACATCATCAGATAAAGTATCCATGCCATTACACAGCCTTGTTAAATTCATGATTCAGCTGGCATTATGGAAAGTACCCAGCACCTTCCATCCTGTATATACACAGTACCTTTTGTGGAGGGGACATACGGGTCAAGTCTCACCAGCACACCTCGACACTTCATCCCACAAGCAACAGCCTAAGCATACACCATTAATAATTCTGTTGAGTGCATTTGCTCAGTCTTCTAAAATCTGCTATCAATATGCAGCCTATATAAAGACGGCTCTTTTTAATACAGCGTCCCAGCTCTTTTGACTACTGAGAGCAAAAGCTAAAATGTATCTCGTAAGTGGCAAATCCGTTTGATCTGCAGTTACAAATAAGCATGCTGGCAGAGCCCTGGCTTTCATCACAGGAACCACCAGGTACTCGCCTCACGCTAAGGGACAGATATATGAAGACAGGATCTCACTCATCATAATACACAACTCCTACTCACATGTAGATTCCAAATTACTCATGTTTACAGTGCCAGGCTAAAAGGCAAACAAATAAATACGCTCAAATAAAAGCAGCAAGCACATAACTAGAAGCAGCATGTTTAAAATAAACAAACTCTTCCCTTCTCCAAGAACTGATACTATGTCAGCATAGTTAGAAATTAACGTTGTTAACACCATTAACATGCAGCAAACTATTTCCATCTTGAACAGAAAGCTACACCACAAATGGGGGGAAAAACTGGAAACTGAAATCTTTTGTGGTTTCTCTCACTGTGGTGAGAAATACTTCCTTGTCTTTTACCACAGCAACCAAAACTGAGGGGGGGGGGTGGGAAAAGTGGTGCTTCAAGGCATTCCAACAACGACCTAAGAGAAACCTCAGCACTGGCCATTCACTTACTTCAGAACCAAACACAGATTCTTCCTGTCACTCCAGTGTCACCTGGATTTTTGTTGGTTTGGGGTTTTTTTTGGTTGTTGGGTTTTTTTTAAAGGTGCCTCTTGCTTTTACTTAGGCCATCAACAATACAGAACAGCACTACATCAGAGCATTGCAAGCTCGGGTGGGTATGGTCTCCTATGTTTATAAGAGCACAATAACCTTTTTTAATATGACAATGTTGAGAAAAGGAGATAATCTAAATTTGCCATTTCTTCTGTCAACATGTGAAAGCAGCACAGTTTATAACAAGTTACTAACGACCCTCAAGTACCTGACAGGTAGTTGTAAATATATTAATCAACAGTATCCCATGCACAATCACAAGTAATTTTTGTATAAAATATTCTCCCACCTCCCCACCCAGTAAGACGACAAATGACTATCTGATACCAGAGGGCAATGTCCAATACTTTGAAATCAAATTTCTTATTACTAGGTTCATCATTGATTAGCACTGTTATTCTTCACTCCAATTTTCTGTCTTAGGCTTCAAACAACTAACTGTCACTAGATGTAGTGACAAGAAAAATTACCAGAGTTTCTACAAGGCAGAAACTCCCTCCACACATGCACTCTTTTCAAAAATGTGAAGATTTGGGAAAGCCCTCTCACTAATACGATACGATCACTAATATTTGTGAATGTAAGAACTGCACGTAACAGGAGCAAGACAGAAGCAATCCCTGCAAGCAGCAGTTATGTCAAGGAGAGAGAACACACATTACCTGCCACAACTTAGGGTGGGGAATGGGCTGTATCCAGTGAAAAGCATTCAGCAAATACATCCTAAAACTGGAAGCACCGCTTATGCAATATTAACCACTTCATAGAGATTTTTTTTTTTGTAAATCTGATGCTAAGTCTTACTTAACTTCTCTTTTAGAAAAGCAGAAAGTATTCTTGAGCAATGTGAATTATTTCTAAAGTGAAATCTTTATATCCAGTGGGATCTTCTTAACCCAGATCTATCCTATAGTGCCAACCTATTTTGAAACAGTTGCTTCTGTGGGACTGCTTTTGGGAAGCTGGAGAGCGAGAGACACATTCCCTAGCCTACAAGAAGACTTACAGAAACTGACACAGAATCTTCAATGAGCACAAATGTCAAGGCCTCGATTTTACCTTTCACCTGAAGAACGGCAACACGTTAACCGCTGAGGATTCATGGTGAGAAGGAAAGCCATTAGGGTTAACTTAATAATTATCACTGTGCAACAATGCCAGTATGGGAGACCTCCAAAGGAGTGGGCAGACACGGCCTCACTTCACTTGCGTAAAGTTTTACATTTGTTTTCACAAGGATCATCCTAATTCACCTGTACCATAACAGCTTGCCAACTCACAACAGACCCCAAGTGAACAAGCTCATTCCATCAGATCTGCTTCATACTTCAGCTTGAGATGATACAGCATTTAAGACACAAAGCAGGATACATACACAAGCAATGACAGACCACAGTACCCAAGAAAACTGTAACTTAAGTTTAATTTGGGGGCTACAAGGACGTGAACATCAAACTCGCTGCTGAGGAAGGATATGAACGCCTGAAATCTTAGCTGTCTGCTCTTGTAACTGATTACCCATCCGCATAAATCTTATCTAAACATGGAATAGTTATCCATTTGCACAACCACAGCACACTACTACGTTTCCATCTGAACACCTACATCCTTATCGCTGCACAAGTGATCTCTACCTCTGAAGGTAATGCTAAGCACCATAGCCATTTCTTCATCAGACACAGAACCTGTGCATCCTTACTGCTTTGTCTCCCTTAAGATTTGCTACACCAAGTTCCCAGCCCTGGCCCTCCCAGGACTGCACAAGGGGAACTCTGTGATTTAGGAGCTGGAGGCCAGTTTTTCCACAGATATTCACTCAAGTCCCAGAAGTTCACTGACAATACCAAAAATCATCAACCCCATCGGTGAATTTTCACACACTAATAAAGGCCAGCATGCTCTGGGAAGCATTTCCTCAAGACAATTTTCACGCGTGTGTGTGCGTGCCTGCATTCAGAACCAGTAATTTCAGCTTCATAGTTCCTGCTTATGTCAAAATCCATTTTGATAGAGAACGCATCACAAAAAACAAACAAAGGGCAG